AGCCTTGTATTAAATTTTCAACCTTTTCTGCCTAACAAATACATTTTTATCAATATTAATTTAAAAAAAACTAATAATGATTGAAAATTTCAAATGCCTATGAATAGTTCAACTTAAGTCGAAAATATTTGAAAATTGCATGGTGGATAGAATATACTCATATAAACATTCGGTGAAAATTGCATGTATCTATGGTCATTTTTTTTAATGTTACATCAAAAACCAAAATCGATTTTGTCGAAAAATGAGTGGAGTAAAATTTCCCGTTTTTCCCTTAATTTTTAGTTTGTTTTTCTCGATTATTTAGAAAAGTATTAAGAATTTTTGACCCCCCAAAGTACCAACTAGATTCGCTTTCTGATCGAAAGAGGTACTGAAGTCAAAAATCGAAGCATTTTTACTGCCCCAAAACGTGATGACAGACACAAAAAAATTTAAAAAATTTATTATAAATATATATATATATATATATGTGTGTGTGTATATATCAATAATCGTAATTATGTAGGTACCTACCGGTACGCGTATTACCAAACCGGCTATAAACCGGTACCTATAACAGACAGACGGAACCAACTAGAATAAAAGGTGTTCTATACATAATATGTTAAGAAGCATTATACAACTGGAAAACAATTGATTATTTTCAAAAGTCGTGGTATATTATGCTAAATATGTATTTCAAAAAACTAATTTTTCTATTATTTGTTTAATAACAATTTATTGTTTAAAAATTCCAAAAATAATAATAATAATAATAATAATAACCAGAATAAAAATGTTAACAGGGCAAGAAAGCATAGCTGAACTTCATTTATTTTATCAGAGATACTAAGAAATTTTTTTTTATATGTTAGAAGGCAGTTTGATTAAGAAAAATAGGCCACTTGGTACAGATTCCCAGTACCAAATTAGAATTCCAATCCGTCCCCTGAGCTTAAGTATTATTTCAGGCATTTACGATCTTACCAGTGAGCTTTTTCTCGACGATTTCAAACACGGAGCTTGAAACGTCTGTCTGCAGTTTGTTGTCTGGCATGATATGTCTCCACTTTGCCAGCGTTGTATCCATGCACGTGTAATCGTCGTCGTCATCGTTGTCGACACCACCACCTTGCTTCTTCCTGTTCACCAATTGAAACATTTTTCGTCGCTCTTCGGTCCGCTCTCGTCTCAGCTGCGTCTACAAATATCACGTCAATGATAAATATTATTACTAAAAACTTAGAGAAGGTGATAAAAAGTTATGTGATTTCACATGAAAATTTGCTGGTCCCGGAGCGTCCGGATTCCGAGCATTTCGGTCTAAGTGTAGCTGTAATAGTGCAGATGGGTGATGCAGGACCGCTCTAGAGTTCATGTTTGAGGAGGACACTTAATGTTATTTTTAACCTACTATACTATTAGAACGAATTGAATTATTGTATTAATAAAACTACTTGTTATTTATACAATACATTTGATTCTATTGTGTCATATTTTTGAAGTAGATGTTTTTAAATTTTTGAACCTTGCATCATTACCATCTTGTACTATTATTCCGAAAATAATAATGTTTTTATCTTTTAATATTTCATTATTATTATTTTTTTTTTTTTACGATAATGTTTGACTTCAGCATCTTGAGGTTATTAGTTTACTATTATTAGAATTATATTACAATTACATTACCTATTTRCAAGTATAATCAATATGATTTTTTTTCCAAATAAATATACTTTAATCATTCCATTAGTACCATATATAAATATTACCCTTGTTTTTAATTATTATTAACTGTCATTTTGCCCGTGTTTTATTACGTGGATTTTAGTTTATTGCACAAAACGTAATTTTTATGAATAATAATATTTAAAATTTTGAAAAGGGGAGTAATGTGGTTATGCGAATTTATTTGTCAACTTAAATAAGAACTTTAATATTAATGTTAAATTGTTATGATGATKATGTTATAGTCTCGCTGACTGTCTTAACTTATTGATGAGTATAATAAATTAATAAACTAATATTTTGTAAAACTTGTTAAAAGGGGTGACTTAAATTAGTAATATACATATAAGTTATTAGAATTAGTCATGAATATCGTATGCAAAAACGGTTCGACAAATTCTAACTCTGATCCATAGCTTTTTCAAATTCATTGGCATCGGCAAAMAAATTTAAATATTAAGCTAAATCTACGCATACCTACCAAATATAATGTAAATATATAATACTGTTTCACTTAATCTGTAATCATGTAACATACAATCATAACTAAAGTATCCATTAATTAATAATATTGTATCTACAACCGCAGATTATGACATAGCTGTTGTTGCCTTATTTTCAATAAAAGCCGCATTCCGCGATTGGTAGCAGCCAACGCGCCACGGCATGTTTTTGTACGATCGTTATGGTCATTTATCGAATAACACGTATTTTAGTTTAACATTTATTGCTTTTATTTTTYGTAATTGTTTACCATATTGTTACTTATATTTTTGAAGTATAGATTGTGCAGGTCGTACTAAAAATCTATCACGTGTTGTTTTTGATTAATGCTTTCCAAACTGGCAAAGACAAATAAATTTGRGGCCATGTCAATGCTTAGTATAAGTAGAGAAAATGACCTTAATTTTTTTGACAATCGAGATGATATTAGTMAAAAAATCGATTGGTTGATAAAATTAATAATTGAAATACTTCTATATACAATTCTCATTTCTCATCATGCTGGTTAAACTAACTGTATCTTACTCAGGTAATAGAAAAATCGATTTCCTTTTTATCGGAACAGGTGGATGAATAAAATATTAAAATGGATAATATATTAACGAGGTTAAACGAGGTTAAACGACCATGATAAAAATATTAATTAAGTTTAAAATAATTTAAATTGTTACAACAAGAGATAGATACTCTAAAAAGTAATGTGAATATTTCTGAGCAACACAATCTTTTGAATTAACCTTATTGATATTAAAGGAACCCCTAAAACCAAAAATTAATCACTTATTGACATTTTTTTGTCTCTAGACCACTCACTTAAAGTTTAACTAAAAGAAGAACACATAAAAAAAGTGTTTGGGATCAAATTTCGTAATTAATTAAATGGTAAATGTATTGTTCAATTAGAAGGCGATGAATTAAAAGTTAATGAAAATTATTATCTGCAGTTTAATCTAGAATTTAAAATAAAAATCCAACTGTTGCTAAGCACRTACTAAAATAACGATGTTTAAACCAAACCATTCATATAATACAAGATTAAAAGCAAGTAATTTAAGTTGTTTAACAGTAAACAAACATTTTGTAAAATTTAATGCTGTATAATAATTTAGAAGTAGATTTATGTGAAAAATTAAATATTGATATCACCAAATTTAAAACAAAATTAATTTTAATTAATTACTTATACTCTTTAATTATAATGTATTTAAATAATGTTAATTATGATTTATGAGTAATATTCACTTTCCTTGTTATTTTTAAAAAACTTTATATAATTTTACGAAAAATAAAGCACCGACTTTTTAAGTTTAAATTTTATTATTATTGTAGGTATTATAATATTATAATTTACTGTTTGATTATTCCCCACCCTAAGCACAAACTTTACTTTTTCGGGAGTATGTCGTATTATATTGTATAATTTTAAATGGGTCTTTAACGACATTCAATTTTAGATTTAGGCCTTATTGGCTAACAAATACAAAAAATACAGTAAAGTGGAAATGTAAATTTTGGATTTTTTACCAACAATAAATCAGTAATTTACTCATATTATATTAAATTCAAAAATAATATTAATTTAATATTAAAATTGTATTAAACCACACATTAAGTTTGCAATATTTATTGTATTATTCATTCACAATTCCCTCTTTTTCATAATATTATATTGTATAATATCATCGTAATATATTTTTTGAACAATGAGGATTTAATCGATTTCTTCCATCAGTCTGTGCCCCATATTATATACTACCRTTTTAATTCACGCAAGAAGTTATACATGTACAATTGTATAAATGTAACAATACATTTTGATCGTCTGCGTAGATTTCTGCTTTAATTAACTACTCTATGTCGTAGGAATGTAGAATGACTGAGTAAACTTTTYATAAGACAAAGTTCTTAGTATTTACATCCAACTGGACAAGTGAAAAAATTGTTTTGAGTTTTGATCATACATTAAAACAATTCATGAATTGATGTCCAAAACGATTGAGTTTAAATCAAAACTTGATTTTCTTATATAATGTTTTTAACATATAATAAATAATCCAGTGGTAGGAGTCTGGTAATGAATAGTTTTTGCCTATTGATATATTGTATTCGGGATAATTGAATTGCATTTAGATTGAAAAAAGGTAATAGTGCACTTGGGTAAAAATCAGGTAGTGGTACTTGTTCAAAAAAAGAGTTATAATGGAAAAAACATGGAAAATAGTTACGAGTCAAACGTGTATAATGTAACCATGTTAWAAATATTACGAATCTTATGTTTTCGAACGCTATGGTGTACTTGTTTATTAGCATCATATTATATTAGTTAGTGAATGCTATTTAGATAACGCAAACAATTATTGTCACCAAAAGTGTACAATGAATCTAACCCAATTGGTTAATAAATAGTCATCAATAAAAATATAAGATTAATACTTACATTTTATACCATGTATAAAAAATGATCGAAATGAAAAAAAAAA